AGAAGACCAAAACAACTGCTAAGGGCGAGCAGCAGTTCTGCGGCGAAGAAGGTGGACAAGGTGGCTGTACAAAATCTGATGGCAGGGGTCAAGCGTAAGGCCCGGCAATTCGGATTTGGAAAAACGGAAGCCTAACTGAATATTTTTCCTGAATTTTATACTAATTGAACTTGAAAAAGAAATTTAATTTGATTTTTTAAATAAATGATTTCACCGATTTACACGCGTTTTCCCTTGACCAAATTTTGACCGTATCACCCTTTACACCCAACCGGTGGATGTAAGATTCGCTTACAATTATGTGGGATTCATCATCAGAGGATGTAAGTGGAGACCGCATGAACCGAGGATGCAATATACCTAGCTGCGGTCCAATGCAAGAGAATTGGAGACCGAAAAATGTGGAGTGTATTAGTGAGTGAAATGAATTATGTCGAAAAAAATTGGAAAAAGGTTGTCGACTGGGACTCGAACCACGAACGTTGTGATTATCAGACCTGTGCTTTCTTCCCTGGTTTCTTCATGCTTCTGAATATGGATAGCCTAAAAGCAAACAAGAAGCGCTTATTTCCTCTCACACTTGACTTCGTATGCTTTTTCTGCTGGAGAGATTCTAGGCAAGTGTGTGCGTCGTTCTGCCATGTTATACATAAAAATCAAGGCAAATGCTTGCTTGTGTAGATGAAAGCACAAACAGAACACGAAATAAAAAAGGCAAAAAACCATTACATCGCCTGCAAGGTCAACTTCTAACATTCCATGCGATGTTCATGAACAGAGGATGATAGGAAATGGAACTAACATTCATTGTAATAAATTTTTGGTTTGCGTGTATGAATTTTCATCCAAAAGTAAAAATACATCATGCCATGAACAATAAGGTGAAAATGGCTACATCTGGATACCTGGAACCGGTTCCGGTAGGGCCCCAAAGATGACACTTCCAAAACCTCATGTACTGGAAGCGTTCGATGGCTCAACTTGTATGATTTTTAATCCAGAAGTAAATATATATTGTCGGGGAGCTTCCCAACCGAATTCAGGATCTGCCAGTTTGAAGTCTGCCGGTTTGTCCCATCAATTTTCCTGCACTGAAGAACTAGGCAGACAAGCCGTGACCTTCAGCAAGATGAGAAAATCCATGGGGAGCCAGATTTCATTTTGACTCTAGAAGATTGATATATTTTTCAAATATCTTGAATATGTTATTTATTGCAAGACCTAAATAAACAATATTTTACAAAAAAAAAAATATCCTTAAGCCTCAGTCGTCTTACTCTTAACCATTCAGACTGGCAGGCTGGTATACCTAGTACGTGATGGTGGAAAAGAAGCGTAATAGAATGTGTCTTGAAGAAAAAGCCCTCGTTCCGTCAAAATGACACATTACCTAAGTGTGTAGTATACAATCGAAGAGAACGAAGCACTTATTCAACCAGAGCTGCTTAAGGAGACCTTTTGGAGCAGATCAATTTAATCAAGACTTCAGACTGATAGGCTAGTAAATCTGGTAGCTGACGGTGGAAATCAGAATAAACGAACTTCTCCAATTCTAAATATATTGCTGCGGGTTATGCAACAATGGATTGATTTTTCCCATTTTGAACTTAATGCAGACCTCTGTAATCTGGTGCGTTGCTTCCATATAAACGAGATTCGCATCCAGTGCCTTCACATAATTGGAAATTTCACCCATGGTAGGCTTCGCCTTTCTTTTGGGAAAGTCAAATACATTTGTACTCTTCACTTCCACCATTTTGATATTTTATTTCCTAACGGTGACAACAGAGCTGCAGGAAGTGAGCAAAGCTCATTAAAATAATAGCTGTACGTACGATTACGCGATAAACATTGAGAAAACCGGAATCAACCCCAGCTGCAAGCGAAATGTAGAGCGTAATTTAAGCAGTTTAATACCACTCCATCCATGAACAGAAATGACTTCTACTTAAAAGTCATTCACCATGAAAAAATAGCCCCAGTCAAATCGATAGCAAAGATTATACTGATAAGAACGAAGGTAAACCATTCCACAAATGAGTCGGATACGGTACAGGAAGAATTATCATAATCGTTATTTTCAAGTGCACCTTTCCAACAACCTTTCGCAGGCGGTGGCTGAGTTCTCATTATCAATTCTGAAAGCAGTGAAAGGGAGTAGACAGAAAAAGGATTTCTTTCCTGCTGTCTCTGGCAGATTAAAATACAATTTGGCAAATATTGCAGGAGGGTGGAACAAATGGGTAAACTCGCTTTTTTTTTGTCTCTGATGTTCCAGACTACATTTACGGCTGGATGTCTTTGGTCCTTTCGTATTTAGTGGCTGCGAAGCGTATTTATTTCGTACCGTAAATTTTGTGCATAGATATGCACAACGAAGCGAACCGGAAAATCTGGACGAGTTTGAACAGCCTGGATACCTTGCTAATTCATTAAAAAGGATTCTCTGTAAGACAAACTGATGAACATTTTGGAATTTTCGCTCCGATTTCCAATCGTGTGCTGATTACCGTCGCAAAATTTAAATTCATTTGGTTTGAAACTTTGCAGAAAATAATGAGCAAAAACATTGATTTTTCCATTGTATTTTCAATATCAACTTCAAATGGCTTGTGCAAAATCAGTTTCCAACCGAGTACGGCCAAATTTGGGAAGATAATCAGTTCATAGTTTGAAAAAACCTCTCATGTATGCATTATTCCAGAGAAGTTCTAGTAAAATAGCGAATTCGTTTATTATTCAGTTCCAACCTGGATCGGGTATCAAGATTGGGTCTGCTTATTTTCTGACAAACTTCAGTTTTCTCGTTTGTTTTTAACACCTAACTCAGGTTGAGGTTCTCACTGAGAAAAAGTTCGGTTTCGCACTGGGTTGGAACTAGTTCCAACTCCAACCCCAATAAGAAACGAATTCGCTATAAGAGAGGAGAGGATTCAAAACAATCTGCCTTGACCTGGGTGGTTTCTAGCAACACTGACAATGCAATCAAGATAGGCACTGCTCGATTGGCTGTGGCTTCGACAGTTCATTTGCTTCAACACCAGCCAGTCCGCACCGCTCTTATATATCATTGCTGCAGTTATTCAGATTGCTTCCTGGTATAAAACGGAATATGCTAGGCTGACGAAAAATATCGATGCCTTACAGGATATCAATCTTCTTTTAATGTAAATCTTAATTTAATACACACTTACAATTCCGGGATTCAGAAAGCTCTGTACGTTCCTCACAGCCCCACACGAAGAACTTTTCCCAAATAACCTTTCCCCACCCACCGGCAAAACGATACATCAAATCTGATTTTGTAACAAGCTGCCCCCACACCCACTTCTCTGCTGCCAAAGCTTCTTACACTTTATCGCGTCTCTTCCCATCGGTGAAAAAAAAAGTTGCACGCTTCACTGAAATCAAACATTTCCCAATTTCGCTTGACAGCGTGTTTCATTCTTCTCCTACTAGAACCTTCCTTCCGTGTGCCATCGACTCTTGGAGAAGACGCGTTTCCACCCCGAAAGCTACCAGTCGGTACCCCCTCGGGTGTCGTTGCTGGTGGGCATGTGGATTGACACAAAATACACACTCGCTGCTCGCTGCCTCACCGGATACCGGCTACACGGCATTCTTTTCCCACTTTACATCCATCATTCATATCCTAATTGTGTTTGTTTAAGTTTTTTCCACCGTTCACGGAACAGCGACGACGATCTGAACAACCTTTCTCGCTTCCGCCGGAAAACTGTTTACTTCCGCACACAAACACACAAGAAGTATTAAAATAGACATTCCATAAAAAAAGCGATGCTTCGTGAAATGTTGATTCTGATGGGAAATGAAGTCTCTTAAGAGTCCATTCAGAGACGCATCTATTTCTGAAACGAAATGAGTTTTCCGTGTATTGTGGCCAGGTATTTGTTCCACCCAGACCCAGGGCACAAATTGCTGGAAACTACCGGGCCGTGAATCTTTCCCAACCATACGACAAATATGAGGCCACAAGTGTAGCTGGCTGTGTATAATGTGGCTGGTTTTTGCCCTGTTACCAGAGAACATTACTGCCGAAGACGACGTCGACCGACCGATATGATGATGGCTCCCCGAGCGGTCGTATCTCATATTAGGTCTCGGGGGTAAATTTTTTGGGGCTTTTCACAGTAAGGACGGATAGGTATGGTTGAAGTTTAGTGAATACTTCGGCAGCGAAAAATGTTTCACGTTTCAGTTCTGATTCGCTTCATGTAACAGCTTAAAGTAACAGCTAAAATTAAGCAGATCTGAGTGTTACGCGTTTGTTCTCGATTTCGGTCGAACCCTGCAACCCAGTCTAACGCTGCCCAAGGCGGCCAAAAGACGAAGAGAGACACATTCGACCATAGAAGTGTCCATGCCCCAAATAACAGTGATTCCCAGGACGACGCCATATCAATCAACGGTAGTGACGTAGGTGATTTCAGCGGGTCGGTTAAAAAAAATGGCCACGTGCGTCCAGAACGGACCGAAAGTGAAACTCCCACCTCTGGTGGTGAAGTCAGTACAACTGGACAAGTTGACTTAAGAGATAGCAACCCTCGGCGTCGCTGCCGAAAACAAGCTGTGCGGGATTGGCACGAAGATCATCCTCCACACCAAAGCGGACTACGGCAAAGAATTCCAAAGTGGAATTTTGCACACACGACATCCCGGGCGACAAGCCATTTAAGGTAGTCATCCGAGGCCTACCGAATTTCGAAACGAAGGTGATCGAAGCTGATATTAAAGACCGGTAAAACCTGGCTCCCATCGCCGTCTTCCGGATCAAGAGGAGGAACGAAAAGCCAAAGGAAGTACCAGGATTGCCTTTTCCTGGTACACTTCAAGAAGGGGATGGTGACGCTTAATGCGTTGCAAGCAATCCGCTCCCTCTTCAACGTCATCATCCGTTGGGAGTCCTACCGTGGTGGCCGCCGCCGCTGCCTCAACTTCGGGCAGGGCACCCGAAACTGCAACATCAACCCACGCTGCAGCTTCTGACCATGCCTCCTCCGACTGCCCAGAGGACAGTCCTGAGGCTATCAAGTGTGTCAACTGTGGCGGTGCTTATCAGGGCTCCGACAAGCAGTGCCCCAAACGCGAGGAGTTCAAGCGTATCTGAAAGGATGTATCGACCACCAACCAACGAGGACGTAAGAAAAATAAGTCCCCGACTTTCGGGTCAGGCGATTTTCCGCCTCTTCGAACCAACCAGCAACCACGAGTGCAACCCGCTCCCTCCCAAACAACGCCCGGTGAACAAATTCCACTCCCCCTGGATCCTGGAGAACACCTCCAACGCTAGAAGGTATGTACTCGGTGGACGAGTGTTAGAGCATGTTCGTCCATGTTACCAGCGCTTTCCGCAAGTGCACCAACAAGAACGAACAGTTCGAAACTATCGTGAAACTGGCTATGAATTATGGCGTCTAAACCACTATGCATAGTCACGTGGAACGCTTGCTCGTTAAGAGCAAAAACCATCGAGCTTGCGGACTTCCTCCGCAAGCTTACCATCGACGTGGGCCTCCTCACCGAGACCTACCTCAAGTCCGGCGACAGTTGCTGGTTGCTGGGCCACAACATCATTCGGCTTGATTGTACCAGCTCCAGGGGGGTGTTGCGATCATCGTCAGGAAAGGGATAAAATACCGCACTCTGTCCCATATCCAAACCTCTATCAGGCCCTTGGTGTGGAGGTGGATTCGTCGACTGTATATGTCCAGTTCATCGCCGTCTACTGCCCTCGACAGTGTGCAGCCAGCAGTGGACTAGCGGCTAAATTCAAGAAGGACCTATCCACCATCACCCGTACCGGTTCCCGCTTCGTTGTTGAAGGAGATCTGAATGCTCGCCATGAAGCCTGGCGGAACTACCAGCAGAACCAGAACGGTCGTCTGCTGTTCGGCCACTCACAGCATGGGCTGTACTCCGTTTGGTTTTTGGATGAGCCAATACCGGCTTGTCCAAGCCGGTAGCCTTGAACGAACTCAGCTCCGACCACCAACCGGTGGTGGCTGAACTGGGCTGCAACGTGGCTCCTGCTTTAAGCGCAAGAACTACCACCGTGTAAGCTGGGCCCAGTTTGGACGCGTGGTAGACAGGCACATTATCAAAATCCCGCCGCTTGACACAGGATATCGACCGAGCATTGGAGGGAATCCTCCAAGCCATAACCTTGGTTGACGATGCGTGCGTCCGACGAGTTCCTGTGAGGGGTAAGTTTATTGCCATTGATTCCCACACCCAACTCTTGATTCGCTTGAGATATATTCGTAGACGCCAGTTCCAAAGAACCGGAGATCTAGCTAGGAAACGTTAAATAGCCGATCTGAACAAGGAGATTGCTTCCAGAATGGTCTCACTGCGGAACGAAAGTTTCGGGCGGCTCGTCCAGAACCTGGACGACCGCTCCAGACCATTCTGGAAAGTTGCCAAGGTCCTAAAAACGCACCCCAAACCCATTCCACCACACACGATCGGCTCATAATCACCCCTCAGGAGAAAGCAAATGCGATTGGTGAGCATATTGCCAAATCGCACTTGCTTGGCTCCAACATCCAAAGTTCGCTCGAAGATCAGGTTGTGCAAAGTGTACTCAACCTTGAGGCCTTGTACTATCCCTTCGGAGGATAGAATCTCAGTGGAACAGATTTGCTCAGCGGAATATTCAACCTATTGTGGAAAAACCTCAGCATGAAGGGTCACTCTCTGCTGGCCGCTGTCTTCAACAGATGCTTGGAACTGCACTACTTTTCAAGCATCTGGAAGACAATGAAAATCATACCTATCCACAAACTCGCAAAGGACCCAACACTAGCTTCAAGCTACAGACCGATCAGCCTCCTTTCAGCGCTGAGCAAATTGTTCGAGAAACTTTGCTCAAGTTTGTCGAGGAACACAACATTCTCCTTCCGGAACAGTTCGGGTTCAGGGGGGGCACCCCACCAATCATCAGCTAGTACGGGTGATAAATAACATCCGAAGTAACAAGGCTGAATCCCAGTCCACAGTCATGGCATTGTTAGACGTTGAGAAAGCGTTTGACAACGCCTGGCACAATGGGCTTGTATACAAGCTTTGTAGCTTCAACTTTCCTTTGAATTTTGTAAAAATCACCCGTAGCTACCTTCAGTAGAGGTCGTTTAAGGTATCGTTGAATGGCTGCCTTTCAACCACGTTCTCCATCACAGCAGGAGTCCCACAAGGCAGTCTGTTGGGCCCGTTGATTTACAGCATCGACATTCCTCCCATCGGAGACGGTTGCGTGTTCTTCCTGTTCGCAGATGATACCGCAATAACCGTCAAGGGTTATTGTTGTTGTTGGAGCGGGGTGGACGGGAGATTGTGTGGATGAGGTCGATCCTGCTGCAACAGCTGGTCTTGACCCCTTGAAGGTGCTGGTCAAAACTCAGCGACCAGCCAATGACAACCCCCGGCAGTTTCACAGTTTTCTTCAGTGAGATGGCGTGATCGCCGATCTTTATGGAAGGTCCCTGGAACCGTTGTTGGCACTGGCTGAAAGCCTTTCCAGGTTCGTCCCGAGGTCTGACCTGCGGTATGGCTACCAGGAACAAGGTGACAGCGACTACTGAACCTTTAGGAATGCCAGTTCCTTCGCAGAAAGTGCGGGATTTGGTATTACCTACCGAGACTAGGAAGTAACGAAATTTTGGACGAAATGGATGATATCACCGCTAAGGCCCCAGCTAACGAGTTGCTTCTGCACCATGGACGGTTGGAAGCTTTAGCAATGTCCACGGAAACTAATTCCGTATGGAGACCGTTATCCTTGGCGTCCTTGAGGAGCTCTCCTAGCGTCGCAAAATATGTGGATGTACCGTGACCTTGCCGGAATGCGTGTTGTCGATGGTCTAGAAGGCTGTCAGTCTCGAGAAACTGCTTCAGGTGTCGGTTGACCATCCGCACACCTTTGCCATGCAGCAAGTGAGTACAATGGGTTGAAATTTCACCACGTCCCGAGTCGGCTCGTTTGCTTTGGGGATGGGAACAACCAAGCTCTTCCTCCAATGCTCTGGTTACGAGTCTTTCCGCCAAAGCTGGTTGAAGAGTTCCAGCATTTTTACTTAACCCAGAGTAGACAGGATCTTGAACAGCTGGTAGCAAATCTCGTCTGGGCAAGCCGGTCGTTGCTTCTACTAAGCGCGAAGCTCCTGCCAGGTTAAATCTCATGTTGTTTTTGTCGGAAGAAACGCGAAAACTGCTTACGGACCAAGTCGATGGGTTTGCTTGCCGTTGGAAGGTCTGCTCGTACTTGGAAATCGCCGAGAGGTCTGCGAAGTAATCGCCAAGCTTATCTGCAACGATTGCGGGGTCCGAGACTGCAGCGCCGTCTATCTGGATATGCAATGGGGCCGTGCGGCGCTCGCCACTGAGGGCGTTGAGCTTACCCCAGAGCTCCGTCGAAGACTGTGAGGCGTTTATGCTTTCGAGGAAGTCCTTCCAACTTTCCGTCGTTTGGCATCACGGACCAATTAGCGGCACTGGTTGTGTCGTTTTCGATAGGTACAGAGCGCGTTTTCCGTATCCGGATCATCGATGGGAAGCCGTTTGACTCGTTGAAAGGCTTTTCGCCGGGCCTTGACTGCCTTCTTCGTTTCCTCGTTCCACCATCTGAGGGCTTTACGCCCCGGAATGCTGCTGGTTTTTGAGATGGTTGCTGACGCAGCTACGTTTACTGCTTCAGTGAAAATCTCGATGCTGTCTGGGTTACGTTGTTGAAGTAGGGACTGGAAGGTTTCACCGTAACTCTCCCAATTGGATTTGTCATAGCGCCACCGAGGTCTACGGGTTGCTGCCGGTATAGCGACGGTAAAAAGCTGCACCTGAACCGGGTAATGATCGCTACCGTTGAGGTCCGGATTGACGCTCCACTGCATTCTTCCAGCGAGGGGACGACTAACAGCAGTTACATCGATCGCCATGGTGTGCCGTCCATTGAAAAAAAGGTCGGTGATCCGTCATTAAGGATGATCATATCCTCGTTGTCGAACTTGTCTACCAGTGTGGAACCTCTCGAGTCGAACCGGGGGCACCCCCAGCTAAAGCGGTGCGCGTTAAAGTCACCCAAAAATATACGCGGTTCAAGGTAGGCTATCGAAGATGCTGTCGATTTGACCGTTGAGGTTTGCTAATCTCCCACAAGACAACCCCGATGGCGACGGAGTGTCGGAAATTGTTCCCGCGTTTAACTGTCCAGCAGTATCTACCGCCCAACGAACGGTTCATCTGCTCAACTGTTACCTTGTTGCCTTCCTGGAGTGCTATCACCCAGGGAGAGTTGGCTTGACATAGCAGCTCCAAATCCGCTAGATGATGCAAGAAACCGTTGATGTTCCATTGCAACAGGAAATATATCGGCTTTGGCAAGGCCGGTAGGGGGTCCGAGTTGTACGAACCAGGGGACCCAGTTTCATCACGGTGATGGCTGCTGCTCTGGTGGTCAGGTAGGCTAATATCGAACATACTCGATGCATCGTAGTGCTGCGAAACGGATGAAAGGTCGCTTTCGTATGCCGAATGAGGCAGAACCCCACCAAAGGCAGAGATTTCCCAACGGAAGCGGAGGATGTGTTACCCGGTGACGTTCTAGTGACTTCGGTCGTTGTGGCGGTGGTTTCTATTCCCTCGGAGTCCTTCGGGGAATGGGTTGATGAGCCCTTTTCTTTCCCGATATCACGAGCAGACTTGACTCCGGGACCCCGGCTGCCAGGGGCTACCTCTGGGCTCTTCTGTTTGTTCTTCGTCTGAGGACCGCAGAGGTGGTCCTGCAGTACCGGTGTCCGAGGATTCCGGTTGGGATATAGCTTCTGGTTCACAGGTATGCTTGGCGATGGTTACCCAAGCAGGAGAAAATAACTAATGAATACCTAATTCTGATCTGATACCAAAATTTGGTATTGACCAGAATGACATTTACCTACCAAAAAATAATCCCAAAAAATTACATGCAAAATACTTTGTGAATACCAAAAATTGATATTTGGATACCAAAAGAATACCTGGGTGTTATGGTTTTGGTATTGCATTATCATAATTTCGTTTTGGAATGGTATTGTGGGAACATTTTTCTGGTATTATTTTTTGATATTTTACCTCTTA